GATCCCACACAAAAATCAAAGCTATAACTTTTAATATCTAAATGAAATACTTTATTTATTCCATAGAAATAATCATCATCAACAAGGAATATATTTAAGGGGAGGAAAATGTTTACGTACGAAATGTTTCAAGACAAATTTTTTTGTTAACCAATATAGCATTATTTTACTCATAATTTGCAAATCGTCACATTTTCTTAGTAATTTATTCATTCTCCCTTATATGTGGAAAACTGAAGTGATATATATTTTGCCAGCGAATTAACAATCATTGTCATTTTCCTTAAAAGACCAAAACATTTCATTGTGGGTATATGTCATAAAAAAAGTTTATGCCAATTTAAAACTAAAATTAATATATATAACAAGAGAATATTGGGCTTACAATTAGTATGTATGAATTGAATTTGCAGATCAGATGAAGTTATTACAAATTATCCTGAATGTAAACTTCCGTACACACTGAACCTTATGCAATGAAAAGGAACAACTAGTTGTTCTAACGAGTAATGTCTGGATGTGTACAAAGGATTTTTTTGTTGCTTCAGGCTTTTTCAGTACTTACCTTTGTTTAATTGTAATTTTAACAAATTGAATTAATAAATATTTGAATACAGGTGTGATAAATAATGAATTTTCACTTGAACAGAAGCACTTTTCAGTGCGCTGAGTATACGATTATATCATGCAGTTTTAATTCCAATATATATCAATAAAAAGATAACAATTTTACTACATGTGCTTTCTTTTATCATCACAACAGCACAAAAGCAACAAAGGCTTCCTAAATATAATGAAACACTTGTCACATATAAGCTAATCAGGGCCAGCCTGTTGAATAATTTAACCTTCTGTTTCATATTTACAGATTAAGTCCCTACCTCAAAATGACATCCAGTCCCCCAACACGGACAGCAGGCTTTCACCCAAACAAAACATGAATTTAAACTTCATTTTCAGAAAATGTCTGAACTGCAATTTTAAGTTGATAAACAGAACAGACTATTTTTAGGTCTTGTTACTTATACATCAGACTGGAACAATTTATGTAAATTTTGTAGAAGGTTACTAGGCGATGCTACATGACAAATATCTAAGATAAAAACATTCAAGTTTTCCACAAGATTTAAATGTGTTTTCCTATAGAACTCTACATCAACTATGTGACACACAGAGGGGGGGGGGGACAAATTTGACCCCCATGGACATGATTTATATAAATTTATTACAGGACCTCAAGGTGATGCTACATGGTAAATAGCTAAGCTCTGGACGTTGTTGTTTATGAGAAAAGGATTTTTTTAAGATTGCATTTTTTAGCCTATTTTAGCTCTTGTGACCTACTTAAACATCAGACTGGAACTTTTTATATTAATCTTGTAAAATATGACATGAGGAACAATCTTGCTAAGTTTTGTAAAAACAGATCATGTGGTTAATAAGGAGATCTTATTCAAAGAAATAGTAAACTACTAGCCACAACCCATAAAGTACCATAACTAAAGCTCACCTCTGAGCACATAGTGCTCAGGTGAGCTAAAAAAGTATGGGGATTTTCTAGTCAAGTTTTCACTGACCCAGCATTACCACAGTTACCAAGATGTAGACTGTAAATGCTGTTTTGAGAGAAAATGTCCAAGGGAACACTTTGGTTAAACCAAAGTCGCTGTCACACAAATGATGTTGAAAAAAAGATCATAAGCTCTTCCAAGAAAGCGTTTAGTAGACTTTATGTATGTAGACATATATAAATGTTGTTTATAGATTTCAAAATGTACTTTTGTAATGCAATTTGAAGCATACTTACATCTTTAGTATCAGCCTCCATCATATTCTTTAGATTGTCTGTAGTCATGGTCTCTAACATGTTTTCAGGAGTGTCTGTAGCCTGGTTCTCTAGCATTTTCTCCAGACTGTCTTTAGTCTTTGTCACTAGCCTTTTCTCTAGATTGTCTGTAGTCTTGGCCTCCATCATATCCTCCAGACTGAATAAAATCTCGGCCTCTTACCTGTTTTCTAGAGTGTCTGTAGTCAATGTCTCAAGCATATTCCCGAGACTGTGTGAAGTCTGGGCCTCTGATATGTCCTGTATATTGTCTGTAGTTTGTGTCTTCAGCAAGACCTCTAGATTTTCTGTAGACTGGGCCTATGATACGTCCTGTAGATTGTCTGTAGTTTGGGTCCTCAGCATGACCGCTAGACTTTCTGCAGTCTGGGCCTCTGATATGTCCTGTAGATTGTCTGTAGTTTGGGTCCTCAGCATGACCTCTAGATTTTCTGTAGCCTGGGCCTCTGATATGTCCTGAAGATTGTCTGTAGTTTGGGTCTTCAGCATGACCTCTACATTGTCTGTAGTCTGGGCCTCTAATATGTCCTGTAGATTGTCTGTAGTCAATGTCTCAAGCATATTCCATAGACTGTGTGAAGTCTGGGCCTCTGATATGTCCTGTATATTGTCTGTAGTTTGTGTCTTCAGCATGACCTCTACATTGTCTGTAGTCTGGGTACTCAGCATGACCTCTAGATTTTCTGTAGACTGGGCCTTTGATATGTTCTGAAGATTAAAGCACGTAAAAATAGGGGTTGAATTTGCCAAAAACTGGCGCGGCAAAAAGAAACCGGCCGCTATTTAAAACACTATTACAAAACAAGTTTGGCATATCTATTTAATTTTGTATCGAGAAAAAAATCCCATAAACAAGATATAATTACCGTAAATGGCATGATTTGATATTGGAGGAATTCAAAACACGTCCAAAACAAGTTTCAATATAATAGAGAGATATTTGAGGTTATCAGAAACGGAATTATGTGCAAACTTATGAAAATAATTCCGGTTGTTAAATTACTCATATAACTTGCAATATTTGTAACAATCTTTACATTACTTGCATTTCATTTATGAATTTAGCTGCTCTTTGCGTTTCGGTTCATAAACAGCTTCATGTGAACCAAGCGTTAACTGTTTTAAGCGCTACCCATTTTTCATTGCGACTGTTTATCTTTCACCTTTGTATAGTATAAGCGTTCAATTGCAAGGCTCTGTATAGTTTTTTATCTTTAGATATTGTAAGGAGAATACAACAAAATGCGGAAGGATAAAGTTTATATATATATGTTCATTGCATCTACCATTTTAGTATTATCAATGCTATATATAATTATGAAGGTGAACACAGAGAACACGCTTTTTGTCGAGAAAAAAGTAAGTTTATAAAACGCACTATTTACACACTATTATATTTTCGTTTGATAATAAAATAGTAATTACTTTTAAAAAAACGAGGCGAACTCATACAGACATAAATTGAAATTCACTGTTTCGTAATAGGAATCAAGTTTTTGGTTTTAACAACTTTTTTCATTTTTAACTGGATCATTATATCTATTTAAATAAAGTGAGTACTAAAACTTAATTCGTCCTTTTTAAACCATGTGTCTACTTTTCTGAATTATATGTAGCATTTTATCAGTAGTTATTATTTTGACATGTTCAAAGATTTCCTCCCGATGGAGCATAGATTCACAAGACTTTTTCACTTACACAAACTGCTCATACTATTTCAGTGAAAATAGTTTTGTACCAAACACAAATGTTTGGCGGGACAATCTTTTGCAAGTAACACCAAAAATATTGTGTTCTTTTTTTTTTAGCTTATGTACTTAGAACGAGAGTTAATGATATTAATATTTATGACAACGAATTCGCTGACATTATAATAGATAAACATAATATTAGGTGCAAGGCAATTGCTTACTAAGTACTCTTTACTGTAAGTTGGTAATGTTCATTTTCACATAAATTTATTAATTACTAATGCTATGGGATTAAGGTAGGTCTGTTATTTAATTAATTGATATAAAATGGGTCCATGGACAAACAAATAGTAATCACAGATACCTCAGCAATAAAACAATGAAGAATATTTTGTATTTCTTTATACGTTTAAGTTTGTTTATTATTCATTAAGGTAAGGACATGTTTGAATTGCCCTATAGTGTAATTAGTATCTACTTTACATATTTTAAAATAACAAAAAAATAATTTCCAGCATTTCCGTAAATACCAAATAAAGAAATCAGTGAGTAATTTAATTATTAAAACTGTCATCATTTTTATGTAACATTCTTTTCATAGGAAGAGTATAATAAAGAGACCGCCTATGACAACATTTTGGAAGAAAATCTGTACTTAGAGTATGAACGGTATGTAAATCAATCGTTTTGTTCATAGAACTATCTTATACCAGTTATTTATTAGCAATTAAAATATTTAAATTATGAAATTAATAAAAACAAAACTATTCCAAACTTTTGGTGAATTTGTTATTTTCCAGTATATCAAGAATATATATATTTCAAACGATATTTACAGTGCAGTGTCTTATTCAATATGAAGTCAGCTTTTTACTATTTGTTAACTCACAACCTTTAGGTATGTAACTACGCTGCAAACGAATTGTAACAACATTTCAAGATGTGGACCTAAAGGTGATACGGGCTATGATATTTGTGTTGATCCCTTATATAAACCAAAACGACCCTGTCTCGTTTATTCTTTTGGGTAGGTATATACACACACACACACACACACACACACAAACACACACATATATATATATATATATATATATATATATATATATATATATATATATATATATATATATATATATATATATATATATATAAACTATCTTTAAAAATGCAGAAAACCAATGCTAAACAGATAATATTCTACAGAAAATAGCATAATGACATTTTGTTCCAAAATATTTTATTATTTCTACACACACTATCTACACTATATATGATATTGTTTTAAATCACAAATACATTCTATGTTAAAACATTTATGAGGCTATTGTGTTTTACTTAATCGGATAAATGCATATCTTTCTGTTCTATAAACCATCATGATAATAAATAGCAATCAATATCTTAAATGATTCCTTCTGTAATACAAAATTCACCATTTTATAATTTCTTTCATAGATCACATTATCATTTTCAATTTGAAGATGGCGTTCACAAGACGTTCAACTGTGAAATTCACACATTTGATCCAAGGTACGCTGATAGAGACAAAAAACTGATATTGATTTTCAAATTATAGAAACTTATTCGGTAGAATGAGAATAGAATGATTCATGGATATAATTTTCATTTGGAAATAAAATGTCACCCAGCTTACTCAAATGTTACTTTGGGCGCACAGTCCATTTAAATGCATTGGAAGTTCTTTCGTTAAACAAAAAGTAACAGATGCGTTACTATTTACAAATAGAAACAAAGGCATTCCTTCTTGCAATGAACTTTTAAATAAAAGTTTGATTCCGTTTTAAATGATTTTACTAAAGGTAATAATTAAGCTATGCAACTGAAAACATCATAACGGTTTACGTCAACCTCGTGACAAGCATGAATAATAATTGTGAAATTATTGTTTTCAGTATCCCTTTAGCTGGACATTTCGTTCCAAAACATGTCGAATTCCATCTTATTGGACTATCTAACTATGACCATCACACCATATTTGGATGGGAAATGAAAACACTTGCTTCCATAAGGAGATATCTTAACCATTCATTTGTAAGTTTTTTTTTCTTTGGAGTATTTGTTAATTTGACCCTAACATCACTTCCAGTGTTTATCAGTTTACATTTTATATTATACTGATAATATACTAATTCAATAATCAAGAATCGACGTACAATCGTATCAAAATAAATAAATAAATAAACAATAGCCAAGAAAGGGACATGACCACATTTCTAAAACATAAGAATTATTATTTATTACGATTTACTAGCTGTGTTATATTTGATTTGTCAAAATTGAATCATTCATTATTTTCTATATATAATATCGAAACTGATAATAATCATATATTATATAAATAAATATAAAAAAAAACTATATTTCTATTTCAAATACAATTTTGTTTCGACCAAAAGGAATAATTAATGAATGATTTCAGTTTGTATTTCTTTGTATTTATTTTTTAATTGTTTATCCATCACTTTAGATTTATATTATGTTGGTAATTGTCGAAAAAATAATATAATAAAAAAATCGATGTTTTTTTTTTCATATCCATCTATGTCACATGTTTACGTTTAAAAATATTTGTCTGCCTAAGATTGGTTCTAGTTAAAAGTTATCTATCCGACTTATTGCTAATACTTATGTTGTTATAAATTAAAATTCACAATTGCTACATGTGTTTTTGTACTATTTTGTATAAAAAGTAAAAAAGTAGAGCAACTCCCATGCCCTGTGAAACTCAACTGACACAATATCGTGCAGAAACGTAGCTTTAGTCTTCTTTACTTATTGTAATGTTTAAAACCTCTATATCTTAGGCTAAATACGTGAAAACTTGAAAAAGAATAACTGCATATGTCGGAGGGGGTGTGTGCAACGGGGTAAGATGGGAGGGGTTTGGGGGTTGAATTGGTATTATGGCTGAATTCCAAGAAAAAATGGGTTTAAAGCTGTATTTTTTATTGTGTGTAATAATTCAAGTAGTATTTACATGAAAGTTATTATAAGTAGGGAGGCACTGATAGTGTGTCAAACATTTCGATTGACTGTTAAGAAATTTTCTATCCCGTATGCATAATTTATTGATTAATTCTTACTTCAAATTTAAACGCATTTTATCCACGATATCTCTAATTACGCTGATATAATACAAAACAATTTATTAAAGTTATCCTAATATCAAATTTATTCGAAAGATATGCATTGAACACAACATCTTCCGAATCATGCCGCTTGCCAGTGTTGTTTATTGTTTCAAGATATTACTAGTAGCAACTTTTTTAAGTTGTACATGGTTTTATTTGTACATGACAATTTATTGTTTAATCAGTAAACTACATGCTAATCATTTAATTAACTCTGATTGACACATTAAGCATTTAAAGGAACATTATGATTATTCATCTGCTAAAGTAAAGGTTTTATCATTTAATAAAATGTTGTTGTTTTTTTTCCTATTATTTAGTACATATTTGTGTTAACAGAAAACAATAACTTTATTAAGGTAAGATACCTGTAATGGGTATATTTAGGAACCTGATCAAGCTTAATATTTTATCAAAGTACTATATTTTACTTATCCAATTGCAACTTTTCAAAGACATTTACCATCAAGTTTTCAAATTATAAGCATTTTTATGTGAATACCCCCCTCCCACTAAATTGCCCCCAAAAAAGTGGGGGTAGGGGTAAGGAATATATATGAAAAAACAATTTGCAGCTTTTACTTACAATGTGAGTGTTTATAATGTTTCAAGACATATATTCTGATAACAAAATAACAATAAACTGTTCGACATAATGTATTAATTTCAGCCAAATGACTAAAACCTTATCCAAGATTTCTGAAACTTCAAAAAAAACTCATAAAAATAGATATAACATATTTTATTTTTTTAATATTTGGATTGGGGCAAGCAAATTACTTCTATTACTTTTAATACTCTTCCATAGCAATCAAAATATGGAATTTTCATGACCTCTTTCCACATTACTTTTGTGACAAAAATGTGTTTTACAAAATGATATAAAACATTTCCCGAAACAAAAATGTACAACAAAGCTGTTACCTGTCTTGCTTATCTCTAGGAAAACAGTATAGTTTGTAAAATATGATTATATATGTGTTTGTCTAAACAGAGGCTATACAGTCATTTAAATGAAATATTCAAATATTGTTTTATTATATTTGTCATGTTCACATTCTCAAAAATTTCATTGCTAAACTTTCAAAATCTAACTGGAAAATTATTGAAATTTATTACAAGAATAACTATTTCATCACAAGAAACTACTTGAATGCATTGCACCCTCTCAGTAAAATATTGAAATAATATTTAAATAATTTCACTTCCAAAATTTCAGAACATAATAACACAAAAGCTGATATATAGAGGATATTGAATGAGTGTTCAATGTTCAATACTGAATTTAGTACTGGCGAGCAAATTATTATTACATTCAACGAATTAAATCAATGCAGTAACGAACCTACATAAATATAATATTCTATGTTTCACATGCACAAAGTAAAGACTGTTTAAAGTAAAATTTAATAATTCTTCATTGATACGCCTTTATTATAACTCTAACATTTATGGCGTCTTTATGTTTGTATAACGGAAATGACATCAGATCTAAATATATGCACAGTCGTACAATACCACATTTGTGAAGTCACAACATTAGCACTAGTATATTATAAATTTGCATATATGACATTCACACAATCTTGATACCGTTATAGATTTACTTTTAACACGAATATTGCAACATGAACATTATGATGTCATGATTGATGACATCAGGAAGTTCCCGATCCAGTTCTGGTTGCTCATACGGACACAATTTCCATTTCACAATGTTTTTAAATGACCTCATCATGTAAAAAGCAATAAAATGACTAAACAGTCACAGAGTCACAGAATAAACAGAATCAATGACTGCTTGAACAATACCGAAAAATTGTTGCCACTTTCCAACAGAAAGGAAAGTTGATAAAAGTATTGGGAAATCAAAGTGTCATCCATTATGAGCAATCAGAACAGGGTTTTGGAACTTAGCAAGCCACTTACAGAAATTATCTAAAGATTCATGTACATTTAAGTTATTAACATGTGCACCACGGACAGTCATATAACCATCATCAGTGACTTTTATGCCAGTTATTTGTTGAGCTTCTGCTGCTATTGGCATTGCAGGAGTTACATATTGATTAAATGTAGCAGCAGTCTTTATTTCTTTAGCTGCAATCTGTGTTATATGTGGCATCTGTGAACCTCGAACTGCAATAAATATATTATTATTGTACTGTAAAGTGACAAAAGATGTACCCATATAGGCTAGCATATTGTAATGGTGAAAACTGTTACCCTGTCTGTACAATTACTTTATGCATTAGAAAATAAATTATAGGATTACATACTGTTACTCTCCAGAAATTTAGTATGAAATTGGAATAATGATTATTTCAATACTTTACACAGTTTAAAAATGTGACATATGACTTTTATCTCTTTTCTATATTCAAAATCTGGTTTTAGGAAAGCAAATGTCAACTCACTTAGATCTGTAGTTTCCAAATCAAATGTTATAAATGTAGGATTTTCTGTCTTTACTGGCTTGAACGTTCCCTTAGGAACTGCATCTGGTAAGGTCTGTATATCTGGGTCTGATGTATGACCAATACCTAAAATTGTCACATCATATAGATAGCTTTCAACACAGTGCTTGGAAGTGAAAGGAAAAACTTGCAAATAATATAAGGTTCTGAAGGGTTTTAAGATCCTTATCCATGACTTAAACATCAAGCACCTTGTATCTTACAGTTATTACCATACAAAGTAAAGTATAGCATATGTATTACTTAGGCTTATTGTAATGATCACAATGACAGTGTTATTTTATTTTTTTCTGCAGAAGAAAAGTGCTTCTGAATCTAGTGCTGCATGCAAATAAATGATAAACACACCTTCAAACATAAAACAAAAGCACCGCTAGGCGGGGCATTATATGCCCGAAATTACTTTAGCTGTAGGTTGATTAATGCTTGAGTTATTGAGCGAAAACTGTTTCCAGTTTAAAGGTGATAGTAACCTTGATCTATGACCATGTGACCCCAAAATCAATAGGGGTCTTCTACCCAATATGGACAATTATCATATGAAGTTTGAATACTGTGGGCTAAATGGAACTTAATTTATGCTCCGGAAACCAAATTGCTAACGGACGGACGGGCAGACGGACGCCAGGGGGTATAACATAATATGTCCGAAATTCTTTCGGGCATATAAAAACAAGAGCTGTCACAGAATGTGACAAATGCCCCCGAAAGATTCTAGTTATAAACCATATATTACATATTAAGTGTGGTGATAAAAATAGACAAAGTTCGAACCTAAGCAGTGACCTTTAAGTGAGACAAAAAAACCTGTGTCTTGTTCACAACACATTGTCCATCTACGGTGATTTTATATTTTTAAATAAAAATTGAAACTTTAATGTATATGGAAGTTACAGAGCGGACACTGTATATAACATTAACATAGAAAAAGTTTAAACCTCAGCAGCCCCTGTGGTGGAAAATGTTTAACATGAATGATGGCACAATGTATTGAAAAAACTATAAATATATTTTACACATTTAATGTATTTAACTGAGAAGTGGTAAATTATTTTTCGTATGAAGCAGTAAAAAACAATTGACAATAGTCTACAATGGCTTGTTATTTAAATGGCATAAACATTTTTTTAGATACTGAATTCTCAAATAAAGAGATGTAAAAATGTTATTGTGGTAACAAGTTAATTACATACTCCATTTCTTTTTTTGTAAGCCTCTTCAGCTGACCGTCTCTGTGATTCTGTTGAGACAGCTTCTATCACTTCACCAGCCCTTCTCTCCATTTCCTTAAGATTTTCTAGGCTTATCAGCTTAAGATCAAGAGTGGCAAGGAAATTGTAAACTTTGACAATCATTGCTGTAAATATGACAGAAACAAATAGCAGTCTCAATCAAATTAGATGGTGTTTGTGCATAAACCTTAAATGATAATTTTTTAAATACTTAATAACCTTTTAACTGTTGAGTAATGCTTGATTTTTTTATTTTCTAGCACATGAATAAGATTTTATAAAGATTAAAATCACTGAGTTCACTAACATGAGCCTACTGTGATGTGTGAAGTAGAGTATTCTAAGACATTCAAGCTGCATATCTCAAGTTTAGCTGACGAGAAAATTAAAATTGAGAGAGAAGGTTACGTATATTGTATTTTTACATTGGAAGTAGCAAGTCGTACAGGCTCGTACTGCTAGTCAAAGTTTCTAGCTGTGAGTCACAGATGACTAGCATATGGGCTAGCCGTACAGCATTTTTTCAATGAAAAATAAATGCAATGATGAAGCCAGTTACTTGCACTTCTTATTAAATTTTCAGCCAGTTACTCACATTTCTTATGACATGTTACTTAATTGCACTTCTTATTATCGATACATTTTTACAAATAATGAACATACATATTTCTATTAATTGATTTTAATGATGATGTTCGGCAATTTATATTATGGCGAGATATCGGCAGAATAACATGTAACAATTTTAACACTGGTCACATAAAAATATGCCATTACCGTGAAATAAGTGATGACGCGGAATTAGTGATGTTGAGTATATAATAAACAGTTTTTGTGAGCCGGTGTAAATTCTGTGATATTTACAAGTTACAATTATTAAAAATACTTTGTCATTATCTAGTGCCTCGGGGCCTGGCTGACTAACATTCTAAAATATCTAAATTTGTTTCAAATAAAAAAATAATAATTACCAAATCCAACCTTTGTGTTTATTTCAAAGCAGGGCATCCCCTTCGTTTTGTTCAAATTGTTGTCATGGTGTGTTGTTCCATATGAAAGCAAATTTACAGCTCCTCACTCAAAATTCGAACACATAACATACAGATAGCCATCCAAGCCCTTTTGCAGCTCAAACACAATGTTGTCGCTTGTGAGAATAAAGGTCCAAGACGAAATTCCTTGCAGTGAGCTAAATTTCTAACTAAAACGTCGAACTCAATCAATGTCAATCACCCGTCTACCTTTTTTCCACCCACCTGCCGATCCTTTCAGTCGGTGTTTATAAATTGGAAAATTAGCAATTTTGCACTTACAAATGCTCAATACGTTAGGGTAATTATGATTCACAAGAATATTAGGTTCTTTTCACAATTTGCGTTTGTTTTTGGCCTTGTAACGGCCTTTTCTGTCTCTTACTTTCATTTTCACTTTTGCGTTCTATTTTCTGAAATCGTGACGTCATATAGGGGTTTCCCAACCTGGTTTCACAGCAACGGGGTCTTTACGAATTATCCGTTTACAAACAAAATATTTTTTTTTTTGATAATTTAATTTTCATTTTATCAAAAACTAAAATTCTATTTGTACTGGATATAAATATACGGATAATTTATTAATTTAGAAATAAAAAATAAATATGTTTACGGAAACGGGCGAGAGGTAACGGATGTGCCGATAAGTTACGTAGAATGCCGACATGGCACGGAAAAACCCGATTCTATTACAGGGATCTTACCTTAAAACAGCAACATACGAGAAGTGAATCTTCTATTGTATTACATGCACTGGTCGAAAAAAAAAACGCTTTCTATCCGTTTTTACGTTCATTCCATACCTTGAGAAGTCAACTATTGTTAAGGTTCCTAAGGAGTATTTTAACATGCTTCTGTGAGTGACCTCTTATGAAAGCTAGTGCTTTTCTTATTGTATATGAACTGAAGTGGCAAGTTGGAGTTAAAAATGTTGAACTTGTATGTTGCCTTTTATGTGAAAGATGTGCGCTGTATGAAATTTCAGATGAAAAATTAAAAAAAAAATAATAGAAAAAACAAATCATAAACAAGATACAAAAAACAGATGTTGTTGAAAAGACGATCGCTTTTTGGAATGAAGATACAATAACTATGTCCAACTCCTAATTGTAAATATATAATTATTAAAATTAAGTTCAAATAGGAACATTAATATAGATACACACTTATTTTGTATACGACAGCTCTCTCTTCTCATAGGTAAATTTGTACAACAGATGTGGTAATGAAAACAATTGAACCTTTACTGCAAATAGTTATTTAATCGCACCAAAAACCCAGCGTATTTTGATCTGTAAGCGTCTATGTATATCGAAGCAAAAAGGTACATGCTATGCAACTCAGTAATGATAATCCTTGTAGAATTAAGAAGAATTATGAAGGAAACGAAATTATCTATATTAATATAAGCTTGTTTTAAGCGATGTTATTCACCGACACAAAACCAGTTGCCGTCAGTTTACCTTCCATATATATATTTTTTTTTTCAAATTTCAGATTTAGGCCTCTGTAGTTTTGATGACATGTTTGTCGGTCATATCTTCACATCTTCGATACAAAATATGCAATTGTTATCGAATATTTATGACATAATCAATAAAATACGCTCAGTCTTACGTTTGTTTACAATAATTAATCACCTATTATTCCGTATCGTATGATCACACCTCGCTTATAGAAACATCGCACCGCTATACGTTGACCCGCTGGTAATTTGCAAATTAGAACTCGCATTTAGATTATTCTACTTTTCGTAAACTCTAAGAACATCTTTTTCCTTGTTCTTTTTGTAAAACATTTTTGCTCATCTGAAGGCTTGCAGCTTTAAAACAGACTAAAATCTAAAATATGTATCCACTTGTTTAATGAACATCATGAACGCATTGCATTTATTATATTTCTGAAATTGTTTATTATATATGTGGGTTTTTTGATTCCTGCAAAAATAATATAAAACTGAAAACAATAGAGACAGAATCGAAGTCGTTTTGACTTGTAAAACCACTAATACTTGGATTGTTATAAGAAACAAAACAGGTGTTTGCTTGAAATTTAAAATGTATATGGATTCTAGCAAGCAAGCGCATGAGGCAAAGTTCTACAACTCTTCTATGACATTTAGTCAGGGTTATGCCCATTTTTTTAAAACTCGTTTAAGGTCTACTGTTTTTACTTCATATTATTATAAACCACATTTCTATTGCACTGTTTTCATAAATAATATATGTTCAAGAGTGATTTACATAAATCTGATAAAACACAATCATTTATATGACATAAGGTACACTAATAATTTAATGAACCTATTAAACAATAATCTAAAACCAGTAAAGGATGGTTAGGAATACAGACACATTTGGTTTAAAATCAAGGCTCATTTTAACAAAAAAATAAATCCTATAAAATATTTGAACGAAATAAGATTGTTTAAAGGAACAATCAAAAGTAAAAAAAAAAATAAACTATAAAGTCAAACCCTTACACACAAAATGGAATACACAATTAACACTGGTTATGTAGCCAAAGTTGTTCATGTATGTTGTTTTATGAAACTAACGTCATAGAATTATTATAATGTGTTTTGAGAGCTCTCTTAAAACTTCGCAAGGTATTACAATCTCTAATGCCAGGTTGTATAGCATTCCATAATGTCGTTGCGGCTGTCTAGAAGCGCCTGTCAGCATATCCCACTGTCCGAGATTTAGGCAAAACTAATGTCACTGAGTTATTCTAGGACCTCAGATTTATTGCTGGAGTGTAGACGTCTATCATGTATTTTATATAAGCTTCTGACTGGGATTTATACGTACCAGTCAAAATTTTATATTCGACCCGATAATCTACCGGAAGCCAGTGAAGTTCACGTAAGATATTTGAGTGTTTCTGCTCACAATTCTTGCTGTTGTATTTTGAACATGTTGTAACTTGGTTATTGACTGCTAATGTAAACTTGGACCTTGTTTTGCATGTGACAAAGAAAACCAAGGTTGTGTAGGTTCATCTCCATTTAATCAAACTTTAGATACATCAGTAGTAATGTAATGACAACCTAAAACATATTATATCAATAAGAAAAACATTCAAACAAGTGAATTACATTACAATGCATTTTATACATCATTCCAGTCTAATTCCAGCATTCAGATATGCAATAAATTCACATGACAGCAAATTCAGCGACATCTTAAAATAATGACCATCTAATGACAAACATAAATCAATACAATAGAATATAAACCTACCAAAATATGGTATGACTGTTTCCCTCACATTACAATAAACCTCCTTTCACACATGCGATATTAGTCTAAATTGCTGCAAAGTTAAGATATCAATAAAGACAGAAATAATGTGCATATTGTTTCAAGTTAATTAAATAAAGAGTTAATGAATATTACCCATTGTCGCCATTCTAATTTTACAAAACTCCACATAAGTAAATACCAAAATTTACAATAAATTATTGAAACAAATAATTTATCAAAATGGCAAAAAAGAGTAATTAATGCACAGTTCAACTAAGTAAATATAAAATAGAATAAAACAAAAAAAATACAAACTATCATAGAGTTCCATTGAGATCCACAATACAACGAAACAACCTGCTATACCATAACAATGATGTTCACCCTCAGAACAACCGTGACCAAACTGAGGTATCTCAACAGTAAAAAATAATCATTTACAACAATACACAAACTATGTTCAACCAATGAAAGCAAAGCTTCTGGGATAGACAACTGAACGTAATGAACACACAATCCAAATAATGATTATTCTCAACTTCGTGTATATAACTTTCGGTATAGCTAAAGTCCGTCTAAAGTCAGTATGGTTACACTTAGAGACTCCATATAGCAGTGCACTACAGTAGTTTAACCTAGAGTTAAAAGTGAATTTACTAGCGATTGTGTTGCTTTAACAGTAAGATAGGGTCTGGTATGACCAATTTGTCTTACAGACATTATTTACATGTTGTTCAATCTTCATGTTCGAGTCAAGAAATGCACCGAGATTGCGTACACTAGATGATTGACTGATTTTCGAAACGTCGGCAGTCATTGAAACACCTAAAACAGGTTGTGCGTTATGTTCCGATGAGAATATGATCAACTCTGTTTTGTCGTCGTTTAGCTTCAGCATGTTGACATTCATGCATCTTACACTACATCGAGACGTTTTTCAATACGGTTTATATTATCGTTAATACTAGTAACTGGTATGAAGGGAAATAGAGTTGAGAGTCATCTGCGAAGAAATAGTTCATTTTTACGGCAGATTTCTCCAACAGGTTTTGTATACACCACATAGCTCTTGGGTCCCAGGGCAGACACTTTAGGTACACTGTACTCCATGTGGACTGACTGTGAGAGCTTGTTGTTTATGCATACAGTCTGGTATCGGTCGGTCATGTATGACGTTATCCACGCGAGTGGCTTGCCTGTAATTCCAAAATGTCGTTCAAGGCGGCGAAGGAGCGTTTCGTTAACAATTGTATCAAAGGCAGCAGACAAATCAAGCATCATGATAATAGTCAAATTGTTATTATCCAAAGACTGTAGGATGTCATTTTGAACTTTTAACAATGCAGACTCTGGCGAATGGAACTCGCGATAAGCAGATTGGTTGACCTCGTGTAGATCGTTTGTCTTCGGATTGCTCTCAATTCGTGCGTCAACGACCTTTTCGAAGATTTTAGACAGGAATGGCAAGTTAGACACAGGCCTAAAGTTTTTTCAGTTCGTGAGGATCTAGATTTGTCTAGATTTGGTTTCTTTTGAAGTGGACTTATTCGTGAGTGTTTGAACATTTTTGGTACATAAGCGGCGTCCAAGGACACGCTTATGAAACTGGTTATCACTGATAATAGTTCATCTAGGCATTCTTTTAAAGCCATATTTTTGGCGCCCGAGGCCGAGTGGTTAAGGTCGTTGACTTCAAACCACTTGCCCCTCAACGCTTTGGGTTCGAATCCCGACAGGGACTTTGGATTCTTTCATGTGAGGAAGCTATCAAGCTAGCTTACGGAACGTCGGTGGTTCTACTCGGGTGCCCGTTCGTGCCTGAAATAATGCATGGAAGAGCACCTGAGGTCTTCATCCACCAGTAAAGCTGGAACGTCGCGATATGACCTATACTGTGTCAATGTGACGTAAAACCCAAAACAAACAAAAGCCATGTTTAAATGGGATCTAACTCACATAATTTGGTTGCTGACTTTTTAATCAATGCTTTCACTTCTTCTTCTGTGGTTGAAGCAAACTCAGTATATTTGACACCTGTTTATTCAGATTCAATATATACATTGTTTAGGTACCGATCGTGTTTGAGAACGTATGTTATTCCTTATTGTTTCAATCTTTCTAATAAAGAAGTCACTGAATTTCTTTGCAAGGCGCTCTGAAGATGAATCAGATGTTAGAATCACTTCATTTGTATCTCTAAGTAAATAAGTAGTGGTGTAACAAGTCAAAACAACTCTGATTCCGCCATGATTGTTTTTAGTTTTATATTATTTTTGCAGGAATCAAAAACCAAAACATATAAAAAAACAATCTTAAAATATAATATATACAATGCATTCATAATGTCCATTGAAAAAGTGGAGACATCTGTTTAGATTTTTGTCTGTCTTAAAGTTGTAAGTTTTCAAATGAGCAAAGTTGTATCATCAAAACAACCATGAATAAAATAGTCTTAGAGCTTACGAAAAGTACAATAATCTCATTGCAAGTAATAATTTGCATATTACTGTATAGGTACTAATTAATTTTTTTCGCAATATTTATCACAGTATTTATACTGTGTGTTTAACGCAATATAAGTACGTTTTTTCACATTGTTACCTAGAAATGTACGTGGGTTATTTGTGTTATTTGCAAAATGTAAATTACTTTCTATGTTCACTTGGCACCTTACTTAAAAAATCATGAAAATCTGAATTAATCTTGAGGCATGCAGCTTTTATGTATTTTAGTAATAATAAAACTAAGGCAGCTCAACATGAAAGCAAATGGATAATCATAATGTTCCTTTAAATGCTTAAGAAAACATAACTTTGTTGAATACAAAATCAAGTTAAAAATTTGACCTGTTTATTTTGCTTGTGACGCTTATTTCCTGTGAGCTTATTGCTCTGTATTTTGAATACTTGAGGGAAAACTGAAAATGTATATAAGCAGGCTGATATAACTTTTTCAAAATATATTTTACATGGAAAATAATCTTAATGTTTCGAAAATCCAATTAAAGTATTTTGAGATCTTTTGAGGCTTAGAATATGGAGGAAGGGTTGTAAGTTTGAGCCGTGTTAAATACACGCACTTTCCGATTTTTAAACAAAATCACTTCATAGTAAGTTCTATTAAATTGAAAACAATCTAATTAATGAGACCAAAAGAGAATAACAAATATGAACTATTTCTCACTCGCACGTTGTCACCTATCTCGCACCAATCAGATGATTAACATGCAACGTACTGATAATATAATAAGATTACATAACAAATTGGCCAGTAAATGTTGTAGAATAAAATATTACTGCTTCACAGGATAAGTTTTCAAAATTGTTGTTTGTCTGATATCCCTTTATTGTATAGTTTGTGTTTTTTTATAATTGTTTATACAGCTATGAAGTTTATATATAATGTCCTAGTTAAAGATGCAGACTATTATTTTAAGTAATGGCTGCTGTGCTATATATATATATATAGCTTTTTGTTTAAGCGTAACTGTCACAAAAGCGGCATGGTGAGCATTTGTGATCGCTTTTCGTCCGGCGTCCGTCGGACCTTCCGCCCATTGTCGGTCCGTCCATAAACTTTTCTGTAAACGACATCCTCGCATAAACCCCTTAGCCAATTTGATTCAAACTTCACAAGAAAGTTTCTTTGGTAGTCAATTTCAAAATTATTTTAAGAATTAAGTTCCATGCAGAACTCTAGTTGCCATGGCACCGAAAGAAAATAACTTAACAATTCTTCTTATAAAATCGAAATAGCTAGAGCTTAAATATTTGGCATGAAACATCATCTAGTCAGTGTCTACAAAGATTATTCAAATAAAATTCTTGGGTCAAAAATGACCCCGTCCTAAGCGGTCATTGATTTGTCTTGTACACTATATAGTATGAATTTAAAAAACGTGTTTAAAAAAAAACACAAATAACTAGAGCTAAAATATTAAGCATAAAACATGTTGTAGAAAGTGTCTACCAAGTTTGTTCAAATAAAAGCCATAGGGTCAAAATTGGCCCCGCCCCAGGGTATCATTGATTTTCCTAATATGTATATAGGGAAAAAAAATTTAAACGCCAAAAGAGCTAGCGCTTATATATTTAGCATGAAACATCTTCTTGTGTGTGTCTTACATGTCTGTTCAAATAAAAGACGTGGGGTCAAAGTGGGTCCCGTTCCCGGGATCATTGATTTTCCTTATTTGTATAAAGACATTTTTTAAAAAATCTTCTTTTAAATAGCCCAAATATCCAAAGCTTAGATATTTATCATGAAACATCTTCTAGTAAGTGTCTTCCAAGTTTATTCAAATAAAAGCACTGGGCTCAAAATTAAGTCAACTTTAAAAATTAAGTAAACAGGGATAAAGGGTCAAAATGGCTTTCCTGTTTAGTACCCAAAGTTATGTAGATGTTTAAATTACACTTCAACGTTTATTATAAATAATATAAATGAGAAAATGTATTCAAAAAGTATAAGTGCTTGACAAAATGTTTTAATTGACGTTTAACACAATTTTGAAGATACGTCCCAACGGGTATGGAATTTAGAGAGGAAACATTTACTTAATCATCATTACAAAACAGGAATGTTCATAAACATTTTTTTAAGAATAGCAATCGCTTATGTTTACTATTGCATTAAAAATGCACGATGTATGCAAATCTCGCAGAGACGATGATTTTGCTTTAAAAGTACCATGTTAAATATGCGTTGTCATAATTATGTTTTCTAGAAAGAAAATACGATACTGGCATCAGTGATAGCTGTATAAGCATCTTAAGTATATCATAAGAAAAAAATGTATAATGAAAATGTTAATACTTATGTACTCAGATAATCTATATCTATTTGATAATTATTTTTAGTTTAAATATAAAATTTGATCTGTTCTAAACCAATATGTTATGCATGATATTAACACCAATGTTTCATAGTTATGCAAAATTGTATATATGTTTTATTGTTAGCTTTCACTTTATAACATTGTATTATTATGTAAATCACTTAAATGTGGAAATAAAGAGTATATATACTTCAGGTTATATATTTAGAGACATCGTGGACAAATAGCGTTTAAATCTGAAATAAGAATATATCAAAAGATAATGCTTAAAGAATAGAAAATTTCTTAACAGTCACTTAAAGTGTCCTGACACAATATCAATGCCTCCTTACTTTAATACTTAAAATAATTCTCACAACAGGAATACAGCATTTAACCCATTTTTTTCTGGGAATCGAGGCATAACTTCTTATATCTATCCCCCCCCCCCCCTTTCACCCCGTTGCACACAACCTGTCCGACATTTGCACTTTATTGTTCAAGTTTTGAGGTATATAGCCTTAAATAAGCTATAGGATTTATAGAAATTGCATGAGGTAAAGCAAATATTGTTTTTTCCAGCAGAAAGTTCTACATGAAGCTACGGTTCTGCACAAGATTGTGCCAACTGTTTTTCATGGGATATGAATTAGAGAAAAGAAAGCCTAACACAGCACAATTTAAAATGTTGCAGGCTCGGTTTAATTGAGCCTGTTCATGGAAGGCACTGTCAATTGCAAACGACAGTCCACGCCCCCTAGCACCGGCTTAAGCAGAATTTAACATGACAGATGCTGTACGTCTTTACTTTCAACACAAAACAGTACAGAAATACGTGTAGAAATTGTAAATATTAACATATAACAACTAAAGTAATAATGATCGGTCGGATACGAAATCTTTTAACTAGAACCAGCATACGGCAGACAAATATGTTAAAACATAAAATTGTGACATAGATGAACATGAAAAAATCGAAATTTGATTATGTTATATTTTCGGCAATTACCAACATAATGCAATCTTTGATGATAAATAAACATAAAAATCGTTTCAAATACAAAACATACTTTATATTTTTCGTAAATTTAAGAATTACAAAATGTTTGTCTAAGTCGGGTTTTTGTTAGTCTAGCAGATTGGGGGTTGACATAAAACCAATGCTTGAATTGGTTCACATATATTTCTGCTTTATTTACCAGTGGGTCCACTCAAAGACATATACAAATATTTATACACAGTTTGTATACCACTGTACAATACCCTATAATACTGTCTGGATCTTGTTTGTAAAACAAGTACCTTGACAAAACATATATGGAGATGATTTTAACAAACAAACATTTCTATCTATAAACAAATAAAATAATATTACATTTGTTATCAAACAAATGTACCGAAATAATCTGTCGAATAACACAAATTCCGTAAATAAATAACATTCAGAGCATGGTTGAGGTCCAAAACTTAGGCAGACCTAAAAATGTCTGCCTATGTTTCATGGTCTGCCTAATGCTGATTCAAACCATTTCATGTTTAAATGTTGAATTCTGCTCAAGCCGGTGCTAGGGGGCGTGGACGGTAGTTTGCACTTGACAGTACCGTCCATGAACAGGCTCAATCAAACCGAGCCTGCAACATTTTCATTTTGCCGTGTTGGGCTTTCTTTAGGGATTCTCTAATTTATCTACTTTTTAAATATTATTTAGGTTTGCCTTAACCTGATAATATATATAATATATTAATCATGTAAGAATTCGTCTATCCCTTACAGCATATATATTTGTATGGATAAATAATATATATCTTAATCTTACATAAATCATTGTCTTCAGAATCATGCATCTAGGGTAAAATATATCGCACCTTGGAGGTCAAATGCTCTCATATTAGCAATCAAGATCAGACATGTTTTTCGGTCTCGTACATTATCTTTTCTATGTCTCGTACATTATTAATAATAAAGCGATCATTTTCATTACTCTATCAATTTTATATATAAGGGTGTATGAGGTTTCAATGTTTTTAATGTTTTTATTATCAGAAGTAGAAGTATAGAAACATATAGAATACTTCATCTTGAAAGCGTCGTGGCTACGTCTTAGGCGTTTGTGTTTCATAAACAGTAAATGAGATTTAAATTTCATTAAATTATCTTTATCATTTACGTTCAGGGATATATAACAATATCTCATTTTGTCAAAATAAATTACCACTCAGCAACGTCAATGAAGTTGCACCAAGGTTTGTAATATTAAAAATTTGCATCTAACTATCAATTGTTGGGAAGCGATTTTTGTAGAAACCAGCATTGACAATATGACAAAATGGATAAGTTTTTGTAAAAATGCGTCAATTGAAATGCAGGAAATTGTTAACTGAAAGGTTTTTAAATTATATCTTTGCAGATAAACGTAGTGAAAATACGATTGTTTAAGCTATCTTTTTTTTGCTACAAATGTCAGCTTTGTTCTTTATTATTTTTTCTTGGTTATAAATTAAACGTGTGCTATTATAATTTTTTTATTACTTTGCAGACAACATTGGATATCCTTAAACTCGATATTGAAGGAGATGAATGGAAAGCTATTCCGCAAATATTATCGACAATTTCAAATAAATATATCAAGCAAATAGTTCTTGAAGTTCATTTCGGCAGACATACTAATAGGCTTCAGGACGATGGTTATAGGAGCTTCAACTTGAATAATTGGGGTGATACTGATTCATTTACACAAATTAATGTTCTAAAACAGTTAAAACACCATGGATTTAATATATTCAAATGGGCAATCAATCCAAGATCAAAACTTCGACTTCAACATTCAAGTAAAGGCAGTGTTTTTACAATGCATATTATATCATTGAAAAATATCAATGTACTAAATTGAAACAAATAACAAAATCAAACATTTTTTACGTATATAAACTTTTAGAATGCTGTGCTTCACATGTGTTTATGTCTTCTTATTTTCGTTGTTTACTTTCTTGATTGTCTGACAAAAGAAATATTTAAACAAATACATTAACTAAAAAGCAAGGTCTTCATACTTCAGTGTGGAACATTTTTTATCATTATTTTTGTTTAAATTGTAACATCATCATTGATATTGATACTTATAATTGTTTTTTATAATGGTAAAATAATATATCACTTTAACTGAGCCTAATAATTTACAAGGTTAAAGGAAAACAAAACAATATATATTTACTCTTTAAAGATATATTGGACGTGAGGGTCGATACTTGTGATGGTTAAAAATATATATACATAATACCTCGAATTTCCTTATTTATTGTACTTGTTTCACCACGTTTAATCTAATCAGAAAACATGAAAAGGTCTAACACCACTGAAACAATACTTCTTTTAACAAAGGCTTCTTCGATTGTGCAACTATAGTTTACTCTTCAGAACATACCCCGATACATTGATCGGTCTCACCGATCAATAACGAAAATGAAAACATTGAAAAGATCAATTATCATTCTTTCTGGCAATTATATAACGATGAGTACCAAACATACGCTCGTATGTACTCCAATGGTCGATCAACATCAGTTATTCTCTAGACTATTTTCTCTCACTAGACTAATACTTAACTATCCACAAACAATTGTATATTTCTCATAATTGAAACGCCATGTGAATAAAAAATACATGTATATTATGCATTTCCTATAAGACTAAATAAATCTCATAAATAGTTTTGTTTTTAAACATTACCTTTTTAATTTCCATCCATCTAGTTCTTTCAATTCAGGACATTAGTCACCTTAATTACACAAAATAAAGTAACATTTGACTTTATACCTATACATAGTGATTCCTAAGTTTTAGTCTAATATATATATATATATACAAAAGTGTTCCATGGCCTAAGTTCGTGTAGTAGATGTTCAAGTTGGGAGGAGTGTATTCGATGACCAATTTTGCGCGTAATTCTTGTTGAAGAAACAAGCAATAGTTGTTAGTAACTCATTTATGCAAACAAATCTGTGGTGCATTCTGTGGAATGAATTTCCATTCGACTTTTCTATTTACATCACTTTGGCTATAGCACTGTGATCAAGTTTATTGTACAGACCGTTTAGTTTGTTAACACAACCGACATATTTTGTCCCATTATCGGATATAATAACAACACATGTGTAATAAGATATATTACTTTTCTCCCCCACAAAAAAAAAAAAAAAATAAAAAAAAATAACCTCTACCCTCAACTTCTCGAAGGGCCCCTTGAAAAAAAAATGAAAAAATGAAAAAAAATTACTAGGTGATAAAAGGAAAATTCAATAACGTTTAATTAACCCCAATGCCGCATTATACAATAAACCAGAAACAATAATAATTAAAGCCCATAAATTATTTCCTAACCAACTAACTGCTTTTCCCTTAGTAGACATTAACCAAGAAACAATAGCCCGATAATACCAGGCAATGCTTCTGCTGCTTTTCCTGCAAGACTGGCTAATAGTTTACCAAGATTACTTAAATGTTTTTTAATCAAATCATCTACACCATCTTTTGGAGGAGGTTTTAATGGAGTTGTAGTTCCACCACCTGTAGTAGGAATAAAAGTCTCAACAATAACACCAATAATCATTCCAAAAGCAGTTAAAACGCTAATAATTGTAATTCCTTGTTCTTTAAATAATGTTCTAATGCTCTCAGCTAATGTAGTGTCTTCTTTTAATATTTTGCTAATTGTTTCCTTGATTCTATTTACTTGACTACGTAATATATCCCTATTAACATTAATTACTTCCAGTCTTGCACTTTTCTCAGACTCCAAATCTCTTATTCGACTACTTATCCTCTCTAATTGGAATTCATCATTGTCTGATTTGGCTTGTTCTAATTTATGTTTTTCTTTTTCTATGTCTTTATTTGTTTCAGTTAGCTTAACTAATTCATTTGCAATCTCTTCTTTTACAGTAGTCATCGCTTTGAGGACACCATCCATTTCTCTCTTTGTCATATCTGTTTGTGTTTCTTGTTCGTCAGTAAATGATGTTTCTATTACTTTCACTGCAGTTTCAGCTGCATTAGGTAAATCAATCATTTCTATATTATCAACATTAGGTAGATTATCTTTCACCTTTTGCAAATTTTTAACCGCTTGTGTTGTTAATGTTTTAGTTGTAGATCTATAAGTAGGTAAGTTTAATAAGTCTCTAATTGCATTTGCTCCACCACTACCAATTCTACTCGCCAAAGAACCCAAGTTTATAAAACTACCACCTTTTTTGGCAGTAATTTGAATATCTTTAACACCAACCTTTAAACATAGTGTTTTATTATCAGGACCAAGTTCAAAGTTTGAATAATCAATATATACTGGGTCTAACCCATACTTTTCTTTTATCAACTTGTAATATTCTTTAACTACATATTGTTTCTGTTCTAATATTAATTGCGTTATTGTATCAACATCATCACTGATATCCTCAATATGAGCACTTCGGTTTTGTATAGTTCTATTAAATTCATCATCCTCATCTACAATAATTCCTTATCCTCATCATAGTCATCTTTATCAAACGCAGAATTATCAAAATCCATTCCACCTTCAGCCATTTTTATTCGTTAAAAAATATCCTTTAAAATGTCGGCTTTTGGCTAAAAAATAAACCCCTACAGAAGAATAAGAGAACCACGTGGTGTGAGAGGAATTCGCCAAACTGTTGTAATAACCAATAATCCTTCAACTATTGACCAAAATCAACAATTGTTAGTGAGATTTCCTAATCTAAGTAGTAATGATGTCATTGTTCCTGGAACAGTCAGATTAGCATTTGAAATTGAACTAAATTCTAAGGATGTAAATGCAACTATATTTCCAAATATAGGAAGAGCAATAATTAAGAAAACAACAATCAAAATAAGTGGAAATGAAGTTATGTCAATCGATAATAGTGACATCTATGATTGTTATATTGATTTATGGAAGTCTTAACATGAACGTTCTAATATGGCCTATCAAGGTATCGGCAAAGATAACATGTTGAAACACAGAGTTGGCACTGGTAATGCTTCCTCAGACAAAGAAGACGAGGCATATAGCAAATGCATACAAAAACATATTTTGCATCCCACTTGATTTTGAACTATTAGAAAAACGCATATGCCATTCTACCAAGCAGGACTCATTGACAGACTTGAATATGAACTTACTTTCAATGATTATGACAAAGTAATTAAATCAACAGATAACAGCCATCGGAAAATCTTTGCACCACCAGGATTGTGGCAAACTTCACTACCATTTATAAATAAGCTAAACACTTATAATTCATTTCATTTGTTAGTTTAGCAGTAAATTATGAATAATTTAAATTAAATTTACACTATTTCAACTTTTTTTCGTATCGAAAATATCATTTTAAAAAATTTGTCCGGGCGGAATTTAGCCTATTCCAACCGGATAAATGCTGTCCGGCCGGAAAAATGAAAATTCCAGCAAAATATTTTTTTCCAATCGGATTTTTTGAAATTTCGAAATGGAAGAAATGCATCAGTATATGCTAAATATATATTGTTTAGTATTTTCCAGTTGAAACAAAGTTGAATTAACCATTTTTTGAAAAATCAAATCGGATTTTTTTCCAGTATTTTTATTGGAAAAAAATCCGATTGGACTTATTTCCAATCGGAATTTTTTCATACTGGAATTGTTTCCAATATATTTTATTGGAAATAAATCCTATCGGAATATATTCCAATTATAAAAAAGTGGAAATTAATCCAATTGGAACTTTTTAAACGCATAATTGACATTAGGTAGGCATTTATATCAAATCAACATATAATACATCGAAATAACATGATTTTTGTGACAATTTCAGATTTTGGAGTATCTTTTAAATACTGACAATATTATTACATTAAAACACAATATTTTATCTTATGTTACGTTTTTTCGGTATAATTTTGAAAAATGAAAGTGAACTTTTCTTAAAAACTGAAAAGAGATAAATTTCCTAATTTCCCGCAACAACAGAAAGAACCGACCACGTCAAACGTTTTGGTTCTTAATAATAATTGTTGTCGTGTTGTCGTGTTTTCGCATTATTGTTTTTGCATTGTTGCAGTTTCCATTGCTGCGATATCGCTCTTTTCTCTCATATGTCGGTTTTACAAGTGCATGCTGACATCTATAGATACAAAATGTAAACAAGAATCGGTTAAACCGGGTGATGCTACCCGAGAAGGTTCTGGACACAGGAAAGTATCAAAATAATGAACAAAGGGCAAAAAACTCCAAAATAAGGCAAAGCGGAGTTATGTTTTTTGCACTGCACTTCTATTCAATGAGATATATCTATCTATAAAGTTTCCTGATGATATCAGAGTTATGTCCCGGGTAAAATTCAAAGTGTAAAAATGAACAAAGGGCAATAACTCCAAAATTAGACCAGGCTTTGTTTAGGTTCTTTAAGCATTGCAGTTCTATCAAATTATATCTAGCTACCTACACAGTTTCATGTTGATATCTCTTATACTTTTAAAGTTATGTCACGGACAAAAGTCAAAAAGTTAAAATAAACAAAGGGCAATTACTTCAAAATAAGGCAAGGCAGAGTAATTATTCTTAAGCACTGCACTTCCACCCAATGAGACCTATCTATCTACAAAGTTTCATGTTGATATCTCTTATAATTTTAGAGTAATGTCCCGGACAAAGTTCAAAGTGTCAAAATGAACAAAGGGCAATAACTCCAAAAGTAGGCAAGACAGTGTTAAAGTTCTTAAGCACTGCAAACTTACTCAATGAGATCTATCTACCTACAAAGTTTCATTTTGATACCTCTTATACTTTTAGAGAACAGTCCCGGACAAAGTTAAAAGTGTAAAAATGAACAAATGGCAATAACTCCAAAATTAGACCAGGCTTTGTTTAGGTTCTTTAAGCATTGCAGTTCTATCAAATTATATCTAGGTACCTACACAGTTTCATGTTGATATCTCGTATAGTTTTAAAGTTATGTCACGGACAAAAGTCAAAAAGTTAAAATAAACAAAGGGCAGTTACTTCAAAATAAGGCATGGCAGAGTAA